ATATATGTTTGATTCTGTTCTGGTTTATGTACGGATTTGGTTTGAAGTGTTTGGTTTTGGATTCTGGAAGTTTTGATTGGAGGTTTGTTGCTTTGCTGAGCTGTTGAGCTCACCCTTATTTTTCTGCGTGATTTTTAGGTTCTGGGAAAGGGAAGGAGGTCTTGGACTAGAGTTCAGAGTCAGATCAGTTATAGGTATTTTGCACTTTTTTTGATTTTTGTACAGTCATGGCTTTTCTCCTTTGTTCTTTCTGTCAGCCATGTACTGTATTTGTAGATGATTGTTTTGAGGAAAAGAAAAATATAGATGATTTGTTCCGCTGCATTTGATGTTACATAGTAGCTCTGTGAGTCTGTTTTGAGTTGAAATATTTGGAAGAATCAGTTCCGAAGCAAATTCCAAAGCCAGATCCTGGTCTGTTTGTTCGTTAAGCTGGTCGTGGCCCGGTGCGGGCGGGATCCTTCCCAGTCGGGTCGGGTCGTGACACTCCGGGCGTCAGGTGGTGGTTTGGAAAAACTCCGGCTGTTAGGTGTTGATCCGGTAGAACTCCGCCATTAGGTGGTGGTCTGGCAGAACTATGGGCGACAGGTGGTCGAGGAGGAGCTAAGGGGAAAGATCGCTCTCTTGCTATCTTCTTTGGGACCACTTTTTAAGAGGAATGATGGGTATATCTATAAATTTTCTAGAGTATCATAGCCTATAAATATGAGGAAGATCAAGGGTAAATGGGGAGTAGTTTGGATGAACAGCTGATGTTGAATCCCTTGATCGTGGATCGTTTACTGGGGATTTGAATGTCTTAGTGATATCAAAATTCAATGATCTTGGGCTTGTTGGATTCGTCTCGTCGAGCCGTTAGATTCGACTATATCATGTCATATTTGGAAACCGTTTGACAAACCAAATTTTGGTTTGATCCATCCAATAATGCTTCAGGTCCTTGATTTGGACCCATTTGGGCTCGGATTGAGTCGAATTTAGCGTCGCTGGGTTCATATTCTCGAGATATTCAGTTTGACTGTAAGTTTGTTGAAATTGGAGTTCAAATGATCCCAAATTTAATTTTGGAAGTTTCCAAATTGATTTTCCTTGAGATTCATGCCCGGTCAATATAATTTTTTGATGATGTATCAGTTTAATTATTCAATATTCTATTTCGGTTGAATTTAAGTTGCCTATATTTGATTCATATAATGAGACTTTTGATCCTTATGAGCATATTGACCATTGTAGAATCATCTTATATATTCAATAAACCTTTAATGCATTCATTTGCCATATCTTCCTTATAACTCTTAAGGGGCAAGCCCACATATAATTATACTCTTTCTTTGTAGGATTATTAGCACCTTTACAAAATAAATTAGATTTTTTATTAAATAAGTTATTGCACATCAGAAGGTTATCAAAACTCGTCCAATCTTTTTATGATATACCAAAAATAATAAGAGACTTATAATAGTACTTTTAAATATCAACTTTTGAAGCATATTAAGCAGCCTATCTAGGGACAAAATAACCCACATAAGGGTAAAATATATAACTAGATTTTTATAATACACTAAGGCTAATTAGCTCAATTATGATGAAATTGAGAGCAATCATGCTTGTAATGATTTAATCAAGTTCTCCTTGACCATGTTAGGATCATAGGCTAGTGTACATTTTCAAAGGTTAATCAAAATATATAAAGAATCCTCATTTTACCCACAAAAAATGTGAAGAATTGATTATTTTATTGAGCAATTAGTAGAGTTTGATTCTTTCATCTTAATTTTAATTATATTATATTATTATATGATATAATAAAAATAATATTTTATATAAATAAATAATTTTTTTTATAGCCGAATCGCATGGTTGGAATATTGAATGTGACAAATTACAACTAATTCTTGCTTAGCTGGCATTCGGATAGGGATGCTTGGTATTCGACAGTGCTCGGTGCACCGGAGGACCGGGAACTACGAAGACGGCCAATATTGTCCCGCGGCAATGCCACATCCGTCAATTTGAGAATTCTCCGACGACTTTGGCGAAGTGGAAGTAGTTTTGTTCCATTCGACAATCCCAATTGGTCGCGGATATAAAAGCTTGGTAGTTCTTTAGGAGATGCGCTGATTAAGTGCCACACTCTAGGGATTGCATTGCAAGTGGTGAAAATCTCTGTTCTTTGGTTTCTGTTAACCTTTGATAGATGGAAGGAGCTAAAGAAGACTTCTTGAGGCGTTTTGGGGACGATTACGGTTACCCTAACGCTCTTAAGAACATCGACGAGATGAGGTCTACTGAATTCAAGAGATTGGAAGGTTATTCATTCTCTTTACGTCGTACTTTTACCGTATCGTCCTGCAATTCCCGTTGCTGTCTCCATTGTATTCCAGTGTTCTTACTTAAGGATTTTTTTTAGGGCTCGCTTATTTGGATCACGCTGGAGCAACTCTCTACTCGGAGGCCCAGTTGGAAGCCATTTTCAGAGACTTATCAACAAAAGTCTATGGAAACCCGCGTATTCTTCAATCTTTGTTCCTTAAATAACAAACTGCACACAAAAAGAAAATTATTGAAATAAAGCTTAATCAATGATGCCAAATATGTGTAATTTTCAGGAAAGCATTTCATAATTTTATTTACCATACATGTGCATATTCTAGTTTCCACTAACATCTACAATATGTTTCTATGATTCATGTTTTTTTTTTTTTTTGAGGTGTTCTTACAATATTCTTGTAAAAAAATCATTCTTCAAGGAACGTTAAACAGATATATTGTGCACTGATTTCATTGTTTGAAGAAGTTTTTGTGAGCTCCTAGAGGAAAGCTCTCAATGGTGTTCTTGATGATTAAACTTAAGATACATTCCCAAAAGACATAATATTATTATAACTAAACTTCCTCTGATATGGGTAATAAGGTTTAAATTTAAGCATTGTGACTTTCTAATTGCATAAGCTACCATAATTAATACTATCTTTATCAAGAGAGCTCTATATTAAATAAATTATTTGGTTTCAGCTTTAAAAACACTACCTCTATAATGATCACTCTCAAATATTTTTGTTATGTTATGGTGTTTTATGCATGGGGCATATGTATGAGTATGAATGGTAAAACCTATTATCCTTTGGTTCCATTGCCTAGGATTTACCCAATAGACCTAAGTTTAAAGAGTCACGAGCCATGAATATGATGGTATTCATTGGACCGAAGTTATTTGTTTGTTATAACTTCTTAGCTTTGAGTAAGTGAGCATGAGCTTTGAATGTTGGTCATCTTATTAGCAATGATGGGTTACCTTATTCAAGGCAATACCTAAGGTCTAGGGTTGGAGTGAATTGATTAATACGAAAGTTTGTTACCTGTATGAGTGGAGGATATATTTGTTTGGTTTGAGATCAACTTTTTTTAGGGTGAATTGGTGCTTAAGCTTTTATTTGGAGTATTTGTTTACATATTACTCCTCGAGATAACAAACAATTTGGGTTTCATTCAACCGCATGGGATGCAGACTCATTCATGTTGCATAGTAGCCCTCTGGTTGGAAGTTATATTTGATTGCATTCACCCCTTAAGGAAGCAAAAGTTGATTTTGTGTTAACCCGTAGCATGAAAGTTAGGGTTGATGCCTTAGTTTCTTTTTGGATAAAGTGTAGACCATCCTTAGTAATCCACACAATGCTTGTTGTCTTGTCACTGTTATCGAATCTTGTAACTTTTTATGCTTTAGTAAATTTTTTGAAGAGTTGAAAACCTCAAGTAGAACAATATTATTCTGCTAGAGTTCTCAACACTAACCAAGAAGGCTGGTAACAGGACACATTTATGTGAATTGGCACGCTTTTTGAGATAACTCAATAGGATTAAAATGTCCTGAAAGCCTAGTTGTCAAACAACTTGATTCAAGCCCAAAGTTTTTTCCATTCTCTTTTAAAATTTTTAAATACCTCTATGATTTTTATAAAATTTTGGGGGAAATTTCATAATTTATTAAAAATATTTTATTTTTTTGAAGTAATTGAAAAATTGAATTTAAGTTTTTCTTCTTGGCAAGGAAGATGATCAAATTTGTAAATTTTCTAGAAATTTTTAAGATTTACTACATTTTTTTTTTCAATAATTTAAGCCTCTTTTTGTGATTTTTTTTTATAATTACAAAATATCCTTTGGGGGTGATATGCAATTTTTTTAATTTTATTGAAGAATTGAGATGGTCAAATTGGATTAGGACATTTTTTGTTTCTTGATTTGCACGTGGCTACCTTGCTAATATGGTTCAAATATGGGTTATCACATATAATTAACTTAACATGCCATGTCACTTGGTGGGACACTTGGAAGGCTACCGTATGATGATGATGATGTGGCAGTCGTATTGGACAATGACAACCCTGCTTATGCTAAATTCGTGCCTTTTTGGGTTATTGGCATTCAGAGTTGGGCATGTCATATTGAGTTTGTCATTGACCCATGAAGTGGGACAAAACACAAAACTTATGAAATAAGCTATAAAAAATCCAAAAAAACTTTTGAAATTTCATTCAAAGGCAAGGAATCATGCAAAAAGTATTATGATTGCAGGATTTTATAAAAACATTCATGTTGAATTTAACTTGGTGTCTTTAAAAATTTAAAATGTTTACATACTTTGAGGAATGAAGCTTGGTATTGTATTATTCTATGTTGAATGTGAGATTTGACTCTTAATAGGATGTTTATAGTAGCTATGGGTGGTCGTACTTATTTAAGGCTAATTTATGTGAAGCTATGAATTGAAAAAGTAATTTCATGAGAATGATTTGAGTTGTGAGGGGTAGTTATGGAGTGGGGGTTGAATAGTTTTTAAGAAGAGGAATAATTTGAGGAGTTTTTTGATAAATGAAGATAAAAAGAAAGAGCTGGGGGTGGTGGAGGGGGGATTATTTACTGTGCATATTAATATTACAAGGAGAGTGAATATGTTGAATAAATTAATTGGGAGAGATATAATTCACTACTGTAATTAAGAAAAAAAGGGTTGTTGGTGTCATATGTTGAAGAGTTTGGAAGGAATTTTAGAGAGAGAGAAAAAAAAGATTCTTCATTCACTTTCTCTCTTTTTATAACAATTTTGGGACTATAATTTTATATTGATTGGTAGACTATACTTGGCACAATCATTTTCTTATTTATTTTCGGTAGATTTTATGAATCCTCAATTTTCATTATTTTTTTATTATGTACTGCATGAAGTGTTTAATCTATTCATGATTCATCATAAGTGATTGTTTGTTTCCAAGCATTTCAAATATATATGTATTTCAAATTTAGAGTAATTTAAATACATTGTATTTTTATTTTTTAAGTTTTGATGTTTGCTTGCAAAATAAATCATGAAATTAATTTTTTGTGTTGGTTGGCTGAAAATGAAATACATTACTCTAAGGCAGAGATTGTGGCCTCGATGATGACATAGATGGTTGGGATGATGACAGGTTGCTGGCTTAGGGATAGGGTTGTGGGGGGACGATGAGGTTGGGGCTGTGCGATGACAATTCGATCATGGCAAGGTAGGGTATAGTGAAATTGTGGATGGCAAGACTGCGTTGTGTCTAGAATAGTGATATCGAGATTGAAGACGATGAGGTCATGTGGGGTTGGGGCCAATGATGTTGAGGTTGGGAACAATGAGATCATGCGGGATTGGGCCAACAATGACAAGGTCGAGCCGCCATCGATGAGTTTGGGGATGGTGAGATAAGTTTGAGCATGACATGCATGGATGATGAGGCCCGAGCTGTGGGTTCCCTGTATTTAGAATTCGATGAATTCCAAATTTGTCAAAATTAGACTTTTGGGTTATTAAAACCCACATGTTTGTTTTATTTTTAATTAAATTAAAAAAAATCGAAACATGTATATTTTTTACTCTACACACCTAATGCACCAAAATAATCAAACTCTATATCACTTTGAAAAACTTATATATTTATATTACCTTAAGTCTATCCCTTGAACTTTCTAATCTATCAACACTTATTTTATCTACTCATTTAATTAGTTGCTTTATATCATTTGTTGTGCATGTTCAAACTAAGTATATTTTTATTTACTAAAATTTTAGTAGATGTAATTCTAATTGTTCCTTTAATATATTAATTTCTTAGTTTATTATTTATATTTTCGCCATACATCCATCTTAGCTTTCTTATTTCCATCATGCTCAACTTAATTTTGAATATTTTTATCATGCACTACTTGTAATCATATGGCATTGTCCAATTGATTATAATTTTATAAAATTTACTTTTAAGTTTTTATGATATCCTCTTACCACATGATACTCTCGAGATACTTCTTAATTTCAACCTATTAGTTTTAACTCTAAAAGTTATAATTGTTGTCCATGTTACAATTCTTTCGTATTATTGATCCATGATACTTAAAATGATTACACTTAGGTATCATTTTATCTTATGGTAATATTGTTTGGTGATTATTAATATCACAATCATTAATGTTGTATATTATATACTAAATCATCATTTTATTAATTCTATGCTCTATATCTTCTAAAGAGTTTATTTTGTTGTTCTAATTTTCACTTATTTCTGGAGATGTCTCACTAATTAGATTAATATCAGTTGCATACAATCAAATATCTCTGGAAAGCTATTATGTTCCAAAAATTTCTAATCAAACAATATGAAATTTGGGCAATTTTATTGTAAGTAAAACTGCCAGGTAGATGGAGGGAGATCCATGTGCCTTCATTCCTTTTAGACTTTTTTCAGTCTCATGGCTTAGGGGTATATTTAGGGTTTCGAGTTTTATTAGGCTAGGATTATGGTATTGGGACTTGTTGTTTTTTATTTATTTAATGTTTAGGCTTTTAGATGATATTTGGGGGTGTGGTGGAAAGAGAGAGAGAGAGGTGGGTTTGGGAAGAGAGGGGGTGGGGGTGGATTGGGATTGGATTGTTTGGGGTTCTTGATTGTTTCCTTAATGTAATGATTGCTTATGAAACTCTCAAGTTTTGACCATAGCTTAACTTTATATATCATTTCCAAGTTGCTTAGTATTTTGTTTATGTCTTGGTTTTAGTGAGTAAAGTATGTTTGTATGTTTATTTGTGCCAATGCAGATAGCCAGAGTGATTCCAGCCAGGCAACATCTGATGTCATAAGTGAAGCACGTCAGCAGGTAGATTTGAGCCTTTTACCTGATTTTGTTTGAATTTCTATTGTTTGGAATTTATGACATGCTCACTTTAATATGATATTTATGAAAAGGAATGTGAAAATTTCTCCAACTTGTGATCAATCAGCATTTACTCATGAATAACAGTTATGCATTACCTAAGAGGCACATAAATGACTATTGTTCTTTGTTAACTTCTTTAAATCGTGTATAAAATGCTCTTTAATCCCTTAGAAAGTAAACCAATACTTCAGAAGAATGCACGACCTCAAATATCACAACTGACATTTAAAGTATGAGTTGGAACTTTAATAGATGAAAATTCTCATTGTTATTTTCCTTTTGATGTCTATGTTGAACTCTAACTATCATCCGACCCCAACTCACATGCATGACCAAACCCGCATGAGCTCCTAGACCGTTTAACTCTCTCTCCCATATGCAGTCAGTCCCACTCACACAACCATTCGCTCCCAAGAGACATGACTATTTGCTCAAATGAAACCATCTCTCGTTTCCTTTATATCGTACGAAGGAATTGCTCCTTCCCATTCATTTGAACTCACACAGAAGTCCAAAGGAACCGCCCGAACTCCCACTCTCTCGATTCACTCTCTTGCACGTAAGGAAGCCGAATCCCAGCTTCCATATCTTCCTCTGCACCCGCCGATCAGCCGCAACCAACTGGCCCTTTCCCTCTCAACGTCTTTGTGCCGCACATAGTAGCCGTGCCCGACCCCTCTCTAGCCCGCTCCATCCAATCCCATCTTCCCTCTCTGCCACACACGCGAACCGGGCCCGCTTCTGCGACCTGCATCCAGATTCCACCACTCTGTCGTTCACACGCATGTACTCAATCTATATCTCACTGTACCTTGCCACAGCCAATGCTAGCAATTCAGTCGCACGCTAGACCCGATCCAATCTTCTACAACTACAATCTGTTCTGATCTAATCGATCCTTCACGTTGACAGTACTAAAATAAAAAAGTATAGATTCTTTCTTGATTGCTTGCTTAAATGATAGGTACACTTTTGATTTGAAGACATGCGTTGTCGATCTTAAGTACGACCAGGAATGCACAAATTGAAGCCCTCACATCGTCGATCTTAGATCCTCCCTTTGCGGCGAGTGGGTGTTGAAGGCTACCAGATTTTTGAGAATTTTTTATAAATTTAAAACTAAATAAAATTATTTATGAGCAACATGTACTTGATTTGAATATCTGCATTGTCGATCTCAGGCCCGACCAGGAATGCACTGTCGATCTTAGGCCCGACCAGGACTTAATTTCAAACAAAATTATGTCATTTTTAAATGATAAAAAAATATAAAAGATAACTATCATTTCATAATTAATTAAAAAAAAAAATTTCACAAATTTCAATTAATTTGAAATATGGTAAAAATGATCTGATTCAATTTGAAATTGACTTGACATATGGTGCATGCAAATCAAGCTACTCTCAAATCATAAATGATAGTAATTACATAAGCAAACCATATACTAAACTCATTTGTTGAAAAACTTGATTAGAACACTTATGGAATTATAATTTATAGATATATCCTTGATGAAAAGTCCTGACAGATGATATTGTATATAATATTGAATTTTTAATTCAAACCAATCTATTGTATATTTCAACTTCAAAGGGATATTTGATAATGAGTACCTTCCCTCAAGAAATGCATACATCAATACATATAAAGAGACTTCTATTGATTTGAAGAAGGTTCAATGCTGGAGAGAAGTTGTAGTTGTCATTGATCAAGAGTGAGAAATTGACGTTCCAGAGTGCTATTATTGTTGATAAGAAGATTCCATCTTCTATGTCTACAACTTTTTTTATTAGTAAATTAGCAGATCCTGCTAGCAATTGTCATCTTAAGATAAATAGGTCCGCATAAGGTGAAGGAAATGTGGAAAGTACTATTGAATCAAGTTGTTAGAGCATAATTACAAGATCATATGATATAAGCAACTTATGTTGTAATGATAGAAACAAAAGACTCTTACATTCAGCTAGGAATATAACTTTGGTGGTAGATAGCAGCATTGATAATGTTCACACAAGCAAATCTTACACACCATTAAACAAATTTTAAATTCAAACATAATACTAAAGTATATTACAATAATAAAAAACACCCTGCATGTGCTCCGATGGACGTGCTAAATTTGCAAACATTAATGTCTGATAATGCTGCGCGGGGGTTAAATGCTCATCATCAACATCAACATTAACATAAAGACTTTATCCCACTACGTGGGGTCGGTTACATGAATCATTTTTCTCTATTGTGTCCTATTAAATGCTCAATAATATAAAATTTTGTTTTCAAACTAAACAGCTGCATGTGCTCCGACCGTTGCTTTGAACTCTTAAATTCAAGGTCGGAGAATGCCGCGCCGCTCAAATTTTCAAATTTCATTCTCCTCATTGAAAGGACCAGAGTTGACATGACTTGAATTAACAAATGAACGCCAAATCACAAAGATTTAACTTGACTTTCATCTTACCTCGATGATGGCTGTATTGAATATTTATCTTAATCTGAGGGGACTCTACACTTTCAAATGCCTCTAAATTTTTACAAAATACAAATATTTTCAAATGATTTTTACGTCACCTCGATAATGGCCGTGCTGACAGTAAATTTCAACCGGAGGGGTCAATTCTCAAAGCTTATAAAAACTTCAAAATCTAATAACTAAAAACTTAAAATTTAAATCCATCCGCCTCTCACAACCGTTTGTCGAGGGTGATAAATTTGAAATTAACTTCAGCTCATAAAGAGCGAATGACGTGTTAGATGCATCACTAAGAGTTATTCTTAAATAATTTCTCTCCAGTAAGGACATGACATATGCAATTTGATCGGGTGATTTTGTTGCAAAATGACACCACTATATTATAGTCATGCCAAAACCTGTATGTTCCCTTCATGTCATTGAGTAATGAATTATAGGATGTACTCGATAGGCACAAAGCCCTTTTGTTAGTTAAGGTGGACTCAAATGTATCCCCTTAGACAAACACCACCCCATATATGCAAGGTACATTTGGACGAAATAACCCATGACTGCTGAGAAGGATCCTTCTATCAGGTTGGGTTGACTACCTTCTTTGACTAAGTAGACCAGGGACCATGACGGCCTGGGACGACAGAACCATGGGATCTTGATCAGGCTCGCATTCATTCCCCCAATCACCTATTTTAAGTATATAGTGATAAATTTCAAATCATAAATTTCAAAATTCAAAACCAAATTCAAACCCTAAAATCGTTGCTATTATACGTTGGGTAATCAGTGTCTATCTCACGACTAGCCTTAATTGAAAGTTCTCTCTCGTTATTGGGAGGGGTAATTAACTGTAAGGGCTTGCTTCTATGAGAAACCAGAACTCAGATCATAAAGTCCTCGCAAAATGAGGGCGAAATCTCTTGGTAATATCTTATGTAAAACCCAAATGTACCTTCTAAATTTTTTTCCCAGAACCTAAATCCATTAAAACTTTCCCCGTCCACAAAAGATGGTGCAGAGAGGCTGGAGCATGAATTTTCGGAGCCCACAGTCTAGTCATTGCCCTATCAAGCCAAAACCATCCGTAAGCGTACATGCATTTTATGATTATTAAGGTGCTAGCTTCTTAACTGTTTGAGATGTTCAAATGAGGAGAGATGCCATTCAAGGTGAAGCTCAACCATATATCTATACACATATACATACACTCCACATTGCTCTACTTAGCATGAGCGAAATCTCTTTTAAATTACATTCATTAATAATTATTTTGTTTGTGATGATTAGCTATTATTGCTTTGTTCTGATGCTACTAAGTTGGAATCCTCTCTCACAAGAGATTGATCCTATTGAATATGTGGAAGGCATGAATCTCCTTTTGATGAGGAAGCAGCAGGTTCAGAAAACCATCTGATGGAGGATGTTGCTTTGCACTGCACATAAATCTAAACTGAGGCTTGAGGTTAAATTTGAATTTAAGTTTGATTATGTACCCGAGCAACTTATGTCTATTAAAGCAACTAATTAACTTTAGACTAGTTGTTTTGTGAACCTTAAAGAATAATCTATTCAAATTCATCCTGTGACTACTATACGATTTTGTTTTTGGTTGATAATTACTTGAATTTAGATTATAAGGAGAATTTCATGTAATATAGGGAGCTGCCAAGGAGGTTGGAATCATTTCTAACAACAAGCTTCCGTCTGATAGCCTTAGTGATAATGATTATTTCATTAAAACTTATATGCGCACCTGGCAAGGCTATTGATTATCATTTATTGTTTTATACTTTTATTAGTTTGATGTATTTAAGCAGCGGCGGAGGCACAGTGGGGGCACTGGGGGCATGTGCCCCCACTGGCCAAATGATTTTTTTTGTTTTATTTTTGATAAAAAAATATTTATATATAAACATAGATTAAAAGTCTAATAGTTTCCGCCAATGCACAAAAAAAAAGAAGAAGAAAAAATCGTCTCTCCTCATCTTGACGTTACCGTGGTCGTCCTCGTCTCCGATCAAATTTTCGCATCGGCGTTCTCTCATCCGCACCCATATGTTTTAACTGTGAGTAGCTCCCTCTCTCTCTCCGTAGCTGTTTATGAAAACCATATTAAAAAATTATTTTGTTCTCTCTAATACTTTCGGTGTGTGTGAAAGGTCATCTCTCTCTAGCTGTCTAGCATCCATCTAGCTGGTATGTGCCAAAAAGAATTTTAAAAAACAGATTTTGCTCTCTCTATTATTTGTATTTTTATATTGTTTTCTTTTCGCCAAATAAATTAGTTCTATCTTAAATAAAAAAATTGTTAAATTAATTTTTTTTAAAACTAAGTAGTACAATTTTGTTTAATTTTAAATAATTTTTTTCCATATAGTTTTTATTTATTTTTGTTCACTCTAGTAAATTTTAAATTTTATATGAATTCATTTTTTAATTTGTTTGACCATTCTCGAATGAGTGCATTGTATT